TACCTTGCGTTTTCTTCAATACACATTTTCTCTGTAGAATAAATCGTCATGTTTCATTTGATTAACGTACAATCTTTTCTGAAAGTCCTATAATCGGAGGAACGATATATCAAAAGGCACTGATTCTATTTGAAAGACTCTAAAACCCGTTATACCAGTACATTTGCAAACAAGTTCCTGTCGCTATGGGCAAACAATTGTTTTAGTTGAGCCTGAACGAGCACAATGATGAAATTCTCCCTCATGGGGGAAAGCTGACAAATATGTAATACGTGGCATCTTGAGATTATTGATTCTGGTATGCAATAAAGATGAGTGACCTTGTCAATGAAACTCTTACTATATCACGAGCACCACTCATACAGTATAGTCTCGGTATCTATGTACAAGGTAAGACTACATTTTATAATGGTAACTTGGAATTAACATCATTTTATATAAATTGAAGTTTCTTTGTATCGGAGACTTTTACACTGCAATTTAAGATTCGATTCTGGCCCATCAATTAAAGACGAAAACTCAAACAAAAAATTTGCACGAGAACAAATTCTGCCTAAAATCTGTTTCAATGAGGTTGTTGCTTGAGAGTATAATTTTAAGGCAAAGCGGATAACATTTGTGCCTGAATTGAAAAAGATTTGCTATTGATCACCTTGAATCTGCAATATTTAAATTCTTACAAGGTCAAAAAAAAAAAAAAAAAAAAGAAAAAAGAAAAACGAAAAAAAAAAGAAAAACGAAAAAAAGAAAGAAAAGAAAGAAAAAAGAAAGAAAAAAGGTGTCAAAATGATTGTATGCGAAGAGCCTCATGAGAGAAAGAAATGCTAATGAATTCCTTTCCCATCGAACGAATAGAGCTTTAAAATTTGTTTAAAAAAACAGTATGTGTAAAATGAAGTTGGCATGAAAAGAAAACTATAAAAATGCGATAAAAATGTATGTTCATTAAGGAAAAAGATGCAAGAATATCATGCTTGTGATTAACCCTTTTTGGTCAGAAATCGGGGCGCAGGTGGTGCCCTTTTTATCCCTTACCCGAAGGCTGTCTGTTGTACCGGAATGTTTCGTTCTTGAGCACAAAAATCACCAACTGGCCAATTGATTGTGTGCACTGGCCGTATACTTCCAATACATAGCTGGATGATCTTGCGCTTTCGTAAGCATAACTCAGAACTATATAACCAGTTCATTATTTTGATTTTTCAATGGTGTTATTCGATTGGTGATTATTATTCTTGGTTGCATCGAGTCCGTAAACGAACGTAACTTATATAAAAGGCGCTGAAATCAGCATCAGCAGAGTCGTCAATTTAAACTTGTACTTGAGATATTCATCAAAGCAATTATCTATCAATATATCAAGATTTTTATATTTCACATACAAATTCATATATTTCGACAATTTTAAGCCTTGCTGTATTAAATCAACTGCTTAAGATTTAGTTCGCCGAAGAAAACAAACGACTACATTTCATAATCATTCATAAGCATTGTTCGAGCTGCTGAAATGTTTCATTTCTGTGGTTTTATATTTTAAATGGCCCTGTAACCCATGTTTCCAAAATAGGGACCACCATTCATTGGATTTTTTTTGGTCAAAATCCAATACATTTTATTCATAATATGAACTGGTTTTTGTAATAAAAACTATATATTTAATGCTAAACATTACAACAGGTTGGTTGGCTATATGTCTAAATTTAACTTATTCAATATAACCAAAGTCATCAATATTCAATAGTGCACATTGTTCAATGTAACTATGCACATTCTAAGGAAAATTGTGGTAATTATTTACGTTCGCTTATTCAACAATAAGTGGGTCTGAATTCGGGACCTCATTTATTCGTTGTCTAGGTTCAGTGAATAATATTTATCCGCGCATTTTGTATTCGAATGAGACAAACCCGGCAATTTATACAGTTACGCAAAGTAAACTTATTATTAAACTTTAACAAACCTCAATTCCGCCGAAAACAAATATGCCTTTCATTTAGGAACGTGAGCGAAGATTGTGTTTTTTGGGGTCAGTTTTGTATTATGAATCGAAATGCATAAAGCATATTAGTCACGTTTAAGTTGTTTTGATTTAAGGCCTTAGATTGATACGAAGTTGCAGTTCATAAATGTCCTGAACCAGGGTCTAGGATCTTGGACGCCATTGACCTATGGTCAGCGCGCACCTGCTCAACCCTTTCAGAGTGGTCAAGCTTTAAAACCAGCTGCTAGAGTTGAAACAAAAGGGAAATACGACATTCGCTCGTTGCAACCACACGTGGCAGGGCACGCTCTTAGAGGTCCAAAACATGGCGAGTTTTTTAATGTATACTTTAACATTTTATGTATTAGATGTCCAAATAACGAAAATGTAATTCCGCCCACAATATTACAGGCGCCGACGAGGTAGAAAGCAGTAGGGGAATTTGAAGGAAAAAATTAGAGGTTTGCTATCAAAAGACATCACAAGATGGGGAAAAAGGACGACCCTGGAGACGCGAGTATGAAGTCTCTAGCGGACAAATTCTTAGGGCGACCCGACAACCTGAAACGAATGGTGCAGCAACACCATTTGGCAGAGAGACAGCACGAGAGAGTTACAAAGGAAGTTGAAAGGGAGTATAAAAGAACTTTAAAGGGTCTAAGTGTCGAAGAAAGAAACATGAGAAAACAATTGGCTAGTTTGAACTCTCTAGCACCAACGGGGGCTTCAAGGGGGGCAGGAAGGAGGCACTCCATCGCTGTGAGTCACCTGGACGACACGACTGGCTTCTATCCGGGAAAACCGCCAATAAGTCCAAGACTAGGCACCCCTATTGACATCACGCGCACTGTAAAAAATACACATCAGGATAACACAAAGCCAGACGAAACATTTATCACAAAACTAGTACCAAATAAGAATCAGACTGCCCTCTCGGTCGGGAACTCCCAGGAAAATTACGATGCCGATAACGAAGCTCACTCTCCTTTACCTACACGACGCAACAGGCGACAAAAATTAATGACGCATCATAAAAAGCACGATAACTCTAACTTGGATGACAATGCTTCATCATCAGAAATATATGTAATTGATAAGCTGACAAATGCAGACGAAGTAGAAACGGATGCGAGAAGCTCCGAAAATACGTTTGAGGATCAGGTAGATTCGGATCCACGAAAAAACGATAATCAAAATACGCAGGGCGACCATTCAGAGACCGAAGACGAGAAAGTGGATCCGGTTACTTCGAAGGTGAGACGAAAGCCTAGGCGACGGGCCCTCGCTTGTGCTGAGGCGGCGGATGCCCCTCAAAAAAGGAAAAATGACTCGAGTGCTAAAGCCAAAGAGCGCACAAACTCTGGCAAAGAAAATCCTGATTTCAAAGAATCAAATTACGAAAATGAAGCTTTTGATAAAGAAATGGAGGAATTCAAAGAGAAAGTGAAAAGAAGCACTGACGTTTCTGACAGCGGCGCTTCCGATACTAGCTTAGATCCTCCCCCGCCTCCAAGACTACGGCGAGGACGGAGTAATTCTGTGGATCTCTCGGCTTTAGCAAGCTACACTGGCGGGAAGCTTTTAGAAAAGCGCAGCAATTTACCTCAGATTTTGTTGCAACGCAGACGTTCGTCTTCGGAGAAATCACTTGTCGACATAGATATCACAATTCCTGAAGAAGAAGAGTTACCATCTCAAGAGACCTTCGAGCCCTCTTCCGATAACGAAGTGATTCGCGAATGTCAGCCAAGAGAACCGGTTCGAAAACGAAATCGTTCATATTCTATCGCCGATCCAATGATGGCCGTGCAGTTTGTCGCTTCCTTAAAATCAAGAGTACAAAAGAAAACAAGGCCCTTGACACCTGATCCCCCAGATGACATCCCAGTTGTAAAATTCGATTTTGATAAGAAGAAGGATCATCGGACATATCTGCTAAGTTCAGGCACCGGTGGGCTGCGTGTGGGCTTGCCGAAGAACATGCGGCAGAGTATAGAACTAAACACGGGCTGTGAAGCTCCGGATGTTAAACTTCAGGAAAGTTTACCTGACATTAACTCCCCCCGCACCCCGCGTTCCCCGGTTGCTCCACTTACACCGAGGAGCGTCACCAAACTGAGAGAGTTGCACACATCAAGTCCGGACGTCTTGACATCACCGTATTCCCCGGGTGCTGACAGCGGAAACACCACGTTGAATAAAATAGAAAGGCGTGTGCAAGAAGAGAAACAGAAACAAAAGCAACTGGAAGATAGGATTAAACAATTCATGAACTCCAACTCGTGAAACAACTGGAAGCAAAGCAACTGGAGGATAGGATTAAACAATTCATGAACTCCAACTCGTGAAACAACTGGAAGCAAAGCAACTGGAAGATAGGATTAAACAATTCATGAACTCCAACTTGTGAAACAACTGGAAGCAAAGCAACTGGAAGATACGATTAAACAATTCATGAACTCCAACTCGTGAAACAACTGAATGTTGAACATTTAAATTCGTTTCAAGGAATAATATTTTTGTGTTCTTGCAAGTTTTGATGACACTTGCACTTAGCGGCTTTATAGACACGGTGTTAAGTGTGACATTATGAGTGACGAGTGACAGTTTTTTTCGGTCTCTTTGGTGAGTGTTATTTGACTACTGAATAACGTTGTATAAGATTAGAGTCATCGTGTGAAACTGTGATATTTTGTGCTCAGATAATGTGTATTTCTTTGAATCGTTTTGTTAAGTATTTAATTCAATGTGCCATCTTTCACTTTTTTATTATTGTTATTTTTCATTATGTCTTTGCATATGGATTTTAAATATCAGTAAATTAATATAATTATGAATGGTATACTTATTTGATATTTGTATAATCATATCGTCTATCCCAAGATAAAACAAAACAAAACAAAAAACAAAACAAAAAACAAAACAAAAACAAACAAACAAACAAACAAACAAACAAACAAACAAAAATTATGCGCGAACATTAGTTTAAATCACTCAAGTGTACTAACAAAAATAATCATATTGAATACGTTTTATTAATTATAATGGACTATAAAAATATACCGTAATATCAACCATATGTATTTTGATAATTCATACCATCAAGACGTTAATTCAATGAAAACGGGAGTAACAATTGGCCATATGAACACAATTAATTTTGGTTTTTTTTCTCATTTAAGTGTTGCAGTGTAAAAACCTAGGCCCTTCATTAAAAATATTCTGTTAAAGATAACTATTCCGCATCCAACCGTTATGTCCATTCTCCATGTACTACAAATGTATAGGCTATTAACGTTTACAGTGTAATTTTTTTACTCGCTTTCTCTTTCTATCTCTGCTTGACATAGTTTGAGTCTACTAATACATGAGGTATTAGACAATTGGCAAACACTGGGCGTTGTGCAAAATATCATGACCTTGGTAACTGTAGTAATATTTTTTCTTCCTTTATTGTATCTTCGGATTCAGGCGTTTGCCATTATTTCAATTTTTCACATTTCGAGCTTTGACATTTAATCTTTTGATAATCAGCATGTAGTCAGACTAACTTTTGATTACATGTATGTGTTATAAAAATGTATATAACTCCTAACCAACATTCACTGTTGTCCTTCACACCTATAGGAGTAAATTTACGTACAGTGGCCAGTAATAATATGCTTTCTTGCTTTGTCATTATTTTGTCATTCAGATCTTAATATCTTTTAAATTTTTTGTCTCTTTCGAAAGAAGTTGAAACCAGCATTATTTTCCAGAGAGGCTTCTAAGGGCCTCTCGCGTTGATGGGTAGGGTTGGTTATTGGAAGACGTGGAGCTTATGTCGTTCCGTATTTGTGTAAATCCTGAAGTCGTGCTAGACAAATCTTGGTTTTCTCGAGATGACCATATTTCAACAGGGTCCATATTGACGACGCGGTTATTTGAAAATGTTCCTTCCCGGGTTGTTGTGCTGGAAGATCTTTGACTCCATTCAAAGTCATATTTTGCAAAGAAGCCGTCATGCTTAGCGGTTTCTTCTGAAAGTTCTCTACATTGACAACAAAGCTCCTCCACGCCATTGGCATCAGTGCATTTCTCATCACAAGACTCTTGAACACAGTGCATCTCAAAATCGTAGTGAAGTTCTTCCATGTCCGTTTTCTCGGGTGTTGATATATCCTCCATCACTGGACATGCCTAGAAATAAATAATAAGAAATGGTTAGGTGGTAGGCATGACCAGTAATAGGACTAAGAGGTGGGGCGACTCTCTCTGTGCATTAATTATGGTGCGCATTTTGCGTATAAATAATGCTTATCATCTTTTTTTTTTTATGGGGGGGGGGGGGGGGGCTTTATTTTATCTTTGCATAAATAAGGCCTGTTATCAACCCATTCAATAAAACAGTTTTAATCCAAAACACCTGTTTCTGACCTGTGTCTTTAAGATTAAAATCAATATACTACCTGTGGGCGCTGTATTAGTTGTTCCACACCGACGTATGTTACAATGCTATGTTTCACATCTGTCACAATGCATTCTTGAAAAAGACCGTCGGCAATCGGTGATCCACTTTGCCGGCCTATCGTCCTCAGTTCTTCGAAATAATCCTCGGAAAACGCCCTGGCGAAGTCTTTGGCTTCAACAGTGGATACTTGTGGACTTGCTTCTTCGGAGTTTCTCTTAGCAAATTTTAAGGCCAAAGTGCCAGGGGAAGTTCGACCAACCTTCATTAAAATCAATAGATAGGTCTACATTAGAAAATGAGTAGGCCTATATATTATATTATATTTACATTTCATATATGCATTTTATATTTGCCCTATTTACTTACATGTATAAAAATACGGTTGCAATTCGGACCTATTTTTATCGTACCTAAGATTTTCTACCTGGGAAGATGGGTTTTTCCTTTCTTCGTCTTTCAGTGAGTAAGGGACGTGAATCACCGGTAAACCCGAACACGTGTCTACACTAAGCTAATAAGGAGAAGGGTCAACTGATTTCACCTTTTTTTGGCAGCAACATTGTAATATATGGAAATATATAATAAATATTTTTAATCAAAAGAGAGACTTAAATTACCTGAAAGTACATTTCTCCTTCGCCCAGTTGTTCCTTGGGTTCACAGAAGTGTACGACCTGTTTACCATTCACTGTGAGGGGAAACCCCTGATAAAATATGAAAATATTGACACATTGACTCGACTTAAGATAACAGTCAAAACACAGCAGTGCTTAAAATATGGAGGAAAAATAACCATTGAAATGAAGGAAATCACCTACACAAATAACGTGAAAACGCCTTTTTCATCAAGTTAAAGTATCATTAAAAGTAATATTTATACCAAATATTAAACAAAAGATTATAGGGGACAAAAACGTTTAACATGAATATATATCATGCAGGTTATAAACAGTTTACAAACTTAATTTCGAGCAAACCGGTGTAAAATAATTTAATGAAACTAGAGTGTCACTCATTATATGTTACGTAGGCCTACGTGTGATAAACACTGTTTTCGTACAAAGGCTTTGATAATACTCACTTGTTGGTGAAGAGTATACATCAGTTCTTTGCTCTTTTTGATAAATACTGCAAACTGGGATATATCTTCCTTGTAATAATAGACGTAGGTGTTGAGGAGTTGAAGACTCGGGCCTTTAGACTCCAGAAAGTTGGAGTCGGATATCTCCGTTAACCACGCTAGAAAGTCGTGTATCATCAGCTCCTTTAGAAAAGAAGTAAGACTGAGTGAAAATACCAAATATGAAATGTAAACGACTAAGATCGAGTACATGTTACTCCTTTATTGTGTTTATATTCAGTCCACGACAGCCGAGGACTACAGGTTGGGGCGTATAGGTTTAGCATTCAATAGAATCATATTGCTCGGGGTACATGCAGAACATTTATACAGGTATGCAGTTTGGCACAGTTATGCTAAATATATGCTCGTACAGTAATATAATAAGTTACGTAAACAAAAAGGAAACTTACCACTTGACTTTGGAGTTCCATCGTTTTCTAATAGATTTTCCAATATGACGCATCTAGTTTGTTACCTGGTGTTTTATTCGCATGGCAAATTTGGAAATTCCTAATCTCTCAGCTAAGCTATTTTTGTAACTGACCCACATATGACCACTGACGTCTTACACAAAGTAATGGACAAACTGGCGTATGTAGGTCAAATTCCAGATCTTTGCGTGACTCAGATCATTAAGTTCCGCCTTGTATTGTGAGAGAGCGATGTCAACAAAAACAACGCGTACTGGTGGATTACAACTTATGCGTCAATCTGGGGAGGGGGGGGGCTATTTTTACCGCCCACTTAGAATAAAAACCTGGCAACTGACTCAGTATCACATGTTTGTTATGAACCAGTGCCAGTTGGATTTTGGAAGTTCCCACTTAATATAGTTCTTAAATAAGTCTAAAATAGTTAATAATTAAAGAACAATTTACGATTTTTAAAATATTTTAAAACGTGAATCATAAGGCTCAGTCCAGTCTTATTTCATTCAATATAGCATGTGAATAATTTTATCTTAAATAATCTAGTAGAAAAATAATAACAGTGAATGGATAAATTAATAATATACAGACTTGACATTTAATATGGAATATTTCAGTTTCGAAGGTATACCTAGGTAAAAATACGTTCTTTTTTCAAAAAACTCCGATCTCATATAAGATTTGTGAATGTAAAAGTGTGCAGTCAGGTGTGTCACTACCAATTAACAGACTTTCATGCCTGTTGCGCTGCTACATTATGTAATTTGCAGTGATTTAATTGGGTAGTGTTCCTTTGGGCTGATCAAAGCTTGGCTTAGGCAAAGCTTGGTTCTGTCAAAAAAATATCCATATTTCGGCAACTACTGCATAGAAGAATTTGAAATTTTGCATGCAAGCGGTCAGTTATGCAGTGCGTAAAATGAGCCAAGTAGTGCATTACAAATTTGTTAATCTAAGGCAGAATGGCGCGAAAAAGACAAACATAACCAGACAGATCATAGCGCCAAACGGAACGGTCCCCACAGTTTTATAGAGTAATGCCCAGACTGATGTACCTGCACAGAGGTGACCCCCAATGTATCAAAATTTTACCTACAGGGTACAGGACCCACTGTCTTTCGGTATACGCTGCTGCAACTCAACAAAAAACACTTAGTCCGTTCAGAACGAGGGGTAAATTGCCACTAAAATGCATTTTTCAAAGCCCTTAGCGAACACTAAACTGGTTTTAGCAGGTAAGAACACCAAATGACCTCCGAGGTACCCACTGTATACAGCAAAACATCGTCGTCTGTTTCTCTAATGAATTGGGGGCCATGAACGATTCTGGGTAGAACACTGAAACTGCGTGGTTTTCTTTATTGAGGTCAGATTTCACCTGTACCGCCCAATTAGTCAAAACAGAGTTTACAGATATCCAGAAGAGGCCTACGACGAAGCATATGCCGGGTCTAAAGTGACAAGGGTGATTGACAGCGTCAGTATTTGGAGTAGATTCCACATTGGTGCCAAAACACCAACGGTAGTCATCGACGAAAACCTGAACCAGATCAAATAAAGGAATAATCTCGGAACCACTTGACTATCATTTGATAGGGGGCACCTTAGGAACAATTCTAGGTTGCACGATGAGGTTGCAGGTTCACACAGAGCACTTTTAATAGCAGATAACTTACAGAACCAAGGG